TTGCCAATCGACATTTCCACTGATCGAATGAGAATCGCAAATTGCGACCGGCCAGCGCGAAAGGGGAGGGCCGCGGACCACACCGGTTACCGCGGCCTCATGGGACACGCGCCAATACTTGAGACTCGCGCCTCCGAGAGCAGAATCCGCTGCAGATCACGCAACACGCGCGCGCCCGAGGCCAGACCCCCTTTTATAAAATGCAGCAGGTTCGCGCCCCCGCGGCGAGAATCCCTCGTAAGTTGTCGCTTGCACAGGCCAGATTTCTTTGCAAATTCCGCCAAGCGCTTGCTTCTGAAGACAGCCTCCATTTAATGTACAGCAGATTCAATTGCGCTCCCGAAGCCAAAATCATTTAAATTGATCCGGTTCGCGATCTCGAAACCCAAATCCATTACATACATTGAGCTGGGTTCTCGCCCCCGAAGCCAAAATCTTTTGTACAATACAGCAAGTTCGCGCCCTCCAAAGCCAGAGTCTTATTTTGCAAGTTGCACAAATTTCGAGCGCCTTTGCAAATTACCCTCAGGTTCGCGCCCCCGAACTCACGATCCCTGGCACATTTTGTCAGACTAGCGTTCCCGATGAAACGATTACAGTAACCTAACCCAAATTCGCGCTCTGAGCAAGAAACATAGCGCTCATCAGAAACACCAACAACAACCACATTAACAACGACAACACCACCATCAACAACACCACCAGCAACAACAATATGTTCAAGACTGTTCGCTCTGACCAGTTGTTCACGTGCCATTCAACACGTATATCACCAAGTCTCGGTGCCCGCCCTCTTCGTCTTCGATCGTACCCCCCTGGGAGTACGTCTTCCTTACCTGCCGCGTGTAATTGGTGCAGCCCCTGACACATGGAATGAAAGCACGGATGGAACGGGGAGGAAGAAGGATGGTTCAGAGGACTTCGCAGGAGGAGGGCTAGGAGCAGAAAACACATGACATAACCAGACGGGTCAATCGGGCAGGTAGACCCGAACGGGCGGGTCGGGAAGGCGGGCCCAAGCGGCCAGGTCGAGAAGGCGTGTTGATGAAGCTTGGGTACTGCATGAATGGCGAGGGGAGCTTGAGAGATAGCGCGGTTTTCAAGTAAATCATGAGAACGCGTGGATGTCTCACGCGAGAGCGCTATTCCTGCATAACTTGTGAGAAAGTACCGCGCGAGAGCGCGATTCTGGAATACATTGTGAGGAAGTAGCAGGCAGGAACCGTTGTTGGTACAGTTCGGGGCCCGACAGCACAGTTTGGCGAAACCCAGATTTTCCTGATAAAGAAAAGGAGCGAGCCCTGAGGGAGGCACTTCAATTGAACAAATACAATGGCTACTGGAGGGGGAATCAACAATAATTCCCCACGTCCAAATTTGTTGCAACAGTGGCAAGTGGAGCAGCGCAAGTGGGAGGAGGCGGAACAGGCGGCCTGCGTAGTCGAGGCCAGACACCGTCAGGGAGCCGGACACTGTTGGGGCCTCAGCAGGCGACCATGTGGGCGAGGGCGTGGGCGCTGCGGTGGGCGCTGCCGTGGGCCCTGCCGAGGGCCCTGCCGTGGGGGCTGCTGTGGGTGCTGCCGTGGGCAAAGCTGTCGGGGCTGCCGTGGGCAAAGCTGTCGGGGCTGCCGAAGGCGCCGGCGAGTCACAAGAGCAGTCGGCTGCCACCGTGGTCTCCGCGCCGTCCGACGGGGCCCCAGTGGTCGTCGCGTCCACGTCCACGGCCTTTGGACGAGGCATGGGATCTCCTCCTGACCCTCCCTCTGGCCCTCTCCAGACACCTCCTCTCCCCCCCGCTCTGCCTGCCCCTCATGCTCCTCCTCTTCCGCCTCATGCTCAGCCCTTCTCCTCCTCCACTTTCGCAAGCATGTTGCCCTGTTCGTTTTCCTGCTCCCTCCTTTTTCCATACTTCGTGCCCCACGTTGTTTCCGTTTCCTCCTTCTCCTTCGTACACGTTTGGCGGACTATAGCGACTGGGCTGTAGCGTTCAACTGGGCAAAATGCAAATAACATAACCTGAGTGCAGTTTGAGTGGCGATGGCGGTGCGAAGAAAAGCAGACATGTGGAGAAGCCCGCGGGGGCAGAGAGCATTAGATCAACAGGCCCCCGACATGCCATACCCAACCCTGCTTCTACCACAAGGTCCCATCCACAGCCCTATTGCCCTCGCCGAGGGCCCTGGCGGCCGCTGGAAGCTGCTAGAGTCTGCCCTCGCAGCAAGGGTATGTTGCAGCAGTTCCTATGTAAGGCAGACTGAAGGCTGGCTCAGTTTATGCTGGCTGGCCTGGGCGGCTTTCGTAAAAGAAAGGTCGAGGATAACTGACTGATCACTCATCCCACCACAACTCCTTCTCCTCCACCAACACCCGTTGACCCTAGGTGCGGAGGCACGCTTCCTGAGGCATTCCGTTAGGCAGCAACGTCACGATTACCTTCACAGAGGGTTGAAGTAGCTGCGACTCGTTCTCAACATTCCGAGTGCGGTGCCAAAAATGGCGATGCGCAAACTGCTGGCTAGCCTCCTTCCAATCATCTGCCACCACCTACCCGTCCGCACGTCCGCGAAGCTATTTTCCGCGATTGCCCTCACCGAGGGTGGAAGTAGCTGTGACTCGTTCGTGCCAAAAGATGGCGATGTGGTCGTCGTCGTCCTCCTCCTCCTCCTCCTTCTGCTCCTCCTCCTGTAGGCTCCTGTTGGCTCCGATGCCGTTTGCTATTGCTGGCAGAATTTCCCTCTCATCCTCGTTCTCTTTCCCCGCCGTGTCCTCCCGCTCATCCCCCTTCTTGACCTCCGTCAACCCTCCTCCTCCTCTCCTCCGCCCTCCTCCTCCTCTCCTCCGTCCTCCTCCTCCTCTCCTCCGTCCTCCTCTTCTCTTTATCCTCCTCCTCCTCCTCCTCCTCCTCCTCCTCCTCCTCCTCCTCCTCCTACCCCTCCTCCTCCCCCTAACCCTCCTGCTCCTGCTGCTGTGACCGCGGACCCGGCACCCATCCCACTTCAGCATGGGTGACCGCCGGGGCCATGTATGCAAGACGGAAGCCCACAGGCACCGTGTGCGATCAAGCCAGAGGCGAGCCGCCCCTGGGGTCACCCAAATCCCCCTTCGGCGACGAGCCCTGCGAGCACAGGAGATGGGAGCGAGAGGGGGTAATGAGAGTGGAAGGGTTCTCCAACCCCCTCGTCTCGTTTCGTTGGACCCAGGCCAGGCCTAGATCGTGAGAATAATACCCCTTGTCCTCCTCCTCCTCCTCCTCCTCCTCCTCCTCCTCCTTCTCCTCCAACTTCCCCTCCTCCTTCTCCGCCTCCCCCCTCCTACTCCTCCTCCTCCTGCTCTTCCTCCTCCTCCTCCTCTTCCTCCTACGCCTGACCTCAGCCATGCAACGCAAGGCCGAGCCGAGTCTTCCTATTCCTGCTCCTCATCCTGCTGCTCCTTCTCCTCCTTCATCTGCCCGCTTCCCGCGAGTCGTCGCTCCCCGCTACCTCCCCCTCCTCCTCCTTCTCCTCCTCCTCCTCCTCCTTCACCTCCTCGCTCACCTATCCGCTCACGTACTCTCCTCCTTCTCCTCCTCATCCTCCTCCCTCCTCCTCCGTCCTTCTCCTCCTTCCTCCTCCTCCTCCTCACCTCCTCACTCCTCCTCCTCCTCCTCCTCCTCCTCCTCCTCTCCTCCTCCTCCTCCTCCTCCTCCTCGTCCTTCGCCTCCTCCTTCCTCCTCCTCCTTCTCCTCCTCCTCCTCCTCCTCGTCCTTCGCCTCCTCCTTCACCTGCTTCACCTGTCCTGCGCCTTCCCGCTCCCTCCCCCGCGAGCTCTCGGCGGCGACCTCGGCTTCGGCGGCGCTGGTGGTCTGCCCCTCGCAGCCGCAGCCGGGCGCGCCGTCCTCGGCGAGGCGCCTGCGGCCAGGGGCGGCCGCTGGCGGTCGGCGGCGCGAGCCGAAGGTCGCCATCGCCGTCGCCGTCGCCGTTGGCTGGGACGCACAGAGACATACTAATACAATATGTAAAAAAAAAAACACGACAGGAGGCTTTTCATTATCTTCGGCCTCTGGGGGCCCTTGCCGGCCCTCGGGACCGTTCAAAAACGATGCGGGATCCAAATCTGGTCCCAGGGAATGGGTCCAGACCTCTGGGGATCGGGTCATAAGAAATGATGTCTGGGGAAAGCAATGGGACGAAGAAGGACATGCTCGTACTATGCGTTCTCCTTGGAGGCGCGCGTCCGACCCGAACATGTAATGTACCCATCTTGTAGTATACCGTTTCCCGAGCAGGGTGGCCAGAAAGCGCCCACCACGACGCACATACGATATATGAGATTTCTCGGTGCGCGCGTCGCCCCTGGGGGGCGACACACATATGGTAGAAGTATATCGGTATGACGCCGATTGGCAGTCGCCGACCTCGCCGTCAGGCGCTGGAGCTGGGGACGGAGAAACGGGTCGGGTGTTCGTTAACTTTTGGGGGTTCAGCTGCCCCGATAGGCAACGCGCAAAACGTAGCGCATCGAAAACGTAGGTCTGACGCGATGCGTTCGCCAGAGCGTGTGCCAATGCGTGGAATTAAAACGGAACGTATTGACACGTACGCTTTGAGCACGGTGCGTGTTGCGTTTCAACACGGGCGCTTCGAGCCAGTTCAGAGAGGTAGAGGTGAGGTGTTCGTGAACGGGGGAGAGGGGGGAGCGGGGGCATTTCTTGACGTGGGGTGAACCAGCGTGCGCCCTTCGGGCACCTGTTGGGCCCGTGGTGGCAGTCTTGGGGGCCCTATGGGGCCACCTCCCTTCAACCCTCGATCCCCCACCGCCCTTGCCCTCCGCCTGCCCGCCCTTCCCCTCGGGGGATCGAGTCGAGGATCGAGCGAGGAGCGAGGAAGATCGAGCGGGGAGCGAGGGTCGAGCCAGGCTCGAAGATCGAGGAGGAGGAGGAGAGCGATCGAGCGAGGATCGAGGAGGAGGAGGAGGAGGACGCGAGGGGAGCTGGCTCGGCTCGACCCTGGCGGTGGGCATATCTCCGCCCGCGGCAGCACGCGGCCCGTGCCGAGGCGCGGGGGCTGGAGAGAGCAGCGCCGGTGGAGCGGCTCGACCTGAGCAGGGCGTCCCCGGGAGTGACCGAGGCGGAGGAGGAGTCGGCGGAGAAGGGAGAGGGGGAGGAGGAGGAAGAGGAGAAAGAAGAGGAGAAGGAAGGAGGAGAAGGAAGAGGGAAAAGGAAGAGGAGTGACCGGGGCGGAGGGCGACACGACGGACAGAAGGAGGAGAAGGAGGAGGAGAGGGCCGCAGCACACGGAGGATGGTGCGCAGGACGAGCATGAGAAGGTCGACAAGCGAGGGGAGCAAGGGGAGGGAGGAGGAGGGAAAGATACAGTGGAGCACAAATAGGAAGAGGATTGAAACAAACAGGAAGGCGGAGACTGAGTGGATGATGAAGATGATATGGGCCATGATGAAGGATGAGGTCATCTTGATAAACTGCTGCTCAACACAAGTTATGCCGCGCACGCAATATTCATGGCGTCGACATAGACACAGTGAGAGCTACTACGCGGGAAAGCGAATAGTCAGGAGACGACGCACGTGAGACATAGGGAGCGCTTCACAGAGCGAGATAACTATTGAGAGAGAGGGAGGCAACACAATTCCTAGGAGTGCTGATTGTCTGAAACATGGCGTACATGATGGGGAGTGAGGGATGAGATAACTGAAATGCCAGGGAAATCAGAGATGCGTTGTCCTACATATGGATGGGAATATGCATACATGTTTGTATGTCAAGATAGAGAGAGGGAGAGAGAGAGAGAGACATAAAGACATCGTGATACACATGTGTATATGTAGAGGAAGAAAGACATGCATACATCACATAGAGAGAGGGAGAGAGAGATACGGTACATGCATCTATCGAGCGAGCACGAGCTAGAACTCGAAAAAGTGGCGCATCCACAAACATGCACACACATATACATATATGTATAGATGTATATATGTATATATGCATAAATAACGTATGGGTCTCCACACACACACATATATACATAGAGGGAGAGAGAGAGAGAGAGAGAGATTCCAAAACAGTGCTCACACTTAGGGGTTCTTACTTAATTGTCGTAAGGGGCTGGACCTGTCTGGAGGTCCAACGGTTCCGTCTCGTCGCCGCCGCGTCGCCGCCCGTCGTTTGGGCCTGCGTGGCGGTCTGAAGGTTCCGTGATCGCCTTCGCCACCTCGTCTCCGCCATGCTCCGCTATAAGATAATAGGAATTAAATCTAAGCCCCCCCCCAGGACTCAAAGGTTTCCCTGCGCGCATTGCAAAATACATGCGGTTTTGCCCCATCGCCCACCCTCCATCTGAATTCATACTATTCCAATTCAACCGGCATCGCCGCCCCCCATCCTTTGCCGAATCTATGCGCGCGCACTCGTTGATCAACAATCATGAATGCCCAAGACTCCTTTGCAAACAAAAAAACGGAAGGCGCACGCGAGCGGCATCGCGAGCGCACGCGGGAGTCCGTGAACAAATCGAACGGTTTGGAAATAATAAATGTCAAAACGAACCTGCGCCCGAGTTTTTGCATATTCTCGAATAAACCATCGGTGTTTCAATCTTTTCGCGTCGTGCAACCAAGCGTGCCCTTCGCTGGCGCATGTCCAAAGCGGTCGAACGCCATTGCGCGCGTGCTGTCGCAGGTCGCAGGAGCCCTTCGCAAAAATGAAACGATGTGCGCACGCGCGCACCGTCGCGCACATGCGGAAACATGTTCCGCCTAACAAATATGGTTCCGCATGGGTTTCCAAATTGAATGTCCCGGAAGCATAGAAAACATTGTTTGTCAAGAGCAATGTTCAAAAGTGCCTGGGTTGTTCCGACATGTTCGGTAAATTTGGCCTGCCGGGCCTCTCGCGCCGCATGCCGAAATTATTGGAACGCCAGTGCGCGCTTGCGAGGGGGAGGGGGGGGGGGAACGCGATCCGTGTCAAGTAATGTTCTGCGGGCCACTCTCGCGCGTCGGTCGCGCGCGCGCGCCGAACTCCTTCTGAAACGTTCCTCACCGACGTGAAGACGCCGTCATCGCCGTCGGCGAGATCAGCATCGGCGCCGTCGCTGGCCTTGCCGTCGTCGTTGTCATCATCGCCACCAGCGCCGCTACCACCCACATCGCGTCTATCCAAATCGCCGTTGCCATGATAGCGCGCCCGCTCTAGTCGCCGACTCGCACTGATGGTCAACGCCACCGCGACCGCGTCGGTCGCGCCAAACTAGCTGGCCGCTTCGCGCGCGAGCACGCGCGCTAGCGCGACAGCGGCAATGTGCCAGCCATCCAGCCATCGCCGAGTAGTCATCGCAATCGCCGCCACATGGGCAAACCAAATTGCAAGTGGGCAGGCGGGAGGATTGCGCGAACAGTGGAGTCGGCGACTTCAAGTTCGGCAGGGGGAAAATGCACCGCGCACATTGCACTGGGTAGATTTTCCGCTCTCGGGGAATATTCGGATCCCCCCCCCTGACTGCCCCCCTTTCCGTGCTGCATTTCGCGCGATATCCTGTTTGCCCGCCCGTCCGAAATATGAGCCCAAACTATCCCAGCGAAGCCGGCATGGCCCCCCCCCATGCATACTCTGCGCAAACATATATACGCGCGCACTGGTCCATCACTAGTCATGAATGTTCAAGAGCCCGTTGAAAACAACGGGCCGAAACGAAAACACACATAGCAAACACATGGTTCGGCAGCGGGAACTGTCAAATTATCCTCGCGAAGGATCTGCGGGGCAGGTGGGGCTAAGGGGAATTCCCAATGGGGCCACGAACCGTGTGAGGGGTGCGCCGAAACGCGGGGCCGCCATGCAAACCCTGCCACTGGGGCCTGCGGCGGGGCCACCCTATGGTGTCGCGGAACGCTGCACTGGGTTGGTAAAGCGCACGGGGGAAGGAGGATGGGGGAGGAGGCAGGAGGGAGGAGGGGGAGGAGGATGGAGCGAGGAACGCTGGGCGCTGTTTCTTCGAAGCGAGGACCCAACACCGCAGGATGGTTGGGAACAAGCTTGCGCTCGCGCTCTTGCAGACTCTTGACCAAACCTCCGGTTCCAAACATTTTTGACAAATTCGACCGAACGTGCCCCGCGCGTTCGCACGCCGAAATCGCTCGAACGCCCTCGCGCGCGCGCTGCAACGAGAACCCCTTGCAAAAGCCGGGGCGAAGTTCACGGGCGCGCGTCGTCGCGCGCACGACAGTCCGTCGACTACAACTGGTTCCCCATGGGTTTCCAAATCGGATGCCCCGAGAACATGTTGGAACAGATGGCGTGACAATCTCAACGTTCAAAAGCGCCTGCGCTCGCGCTCCTGCGAATTATTCAAGACAACCATCGGTGTTCCAACATGTTCAATATACTCGGCCAGCCGAGCCCCTCGCGCCGCAGGTTCGAACCACGAGTGCCCACGCGCGCTCGGGGGAGGGGTGGGGGGCGCGACCCGAGTCAGATAATGCAGCGCGTGTCACTCTCGCGCTCCGGCCGCGCGCGCATCTCGAACTCCTTCCCAAACCTTCATCATCGCCGACGCAAGGGCGCCGTCATCGTCGTCGGCGTGATCGGCGCCGGCGCCGTCGCTATATATAGCACAGCCTTGCCGTCGTCGTTGTCATTGGCTCTGCCGGCGTCGCCACTGCCATCGTCGCATCTACACAAGTCGCCCGGATCACCCCTTACTGTGGCACCGCGCCCGCCCAAGTCGCCATCTCGCACTGATGGGCCCACTGGACAGGCGCCCGGCGGCCGGCGCCGCCGCGGCCGCGTCGGCCGCGCCAGACTAGCTGGCCGCTTCGCGCGCGAGCAAGCGCGCCTGCGCGGCCGCGGAGACGCGCCAGCCAAAGCCAAGCACGCATCGCAATCGCTGCCGCATGGTTTTGAAATGCCAAGTTGCGGGCGGGCGGGCAGGATTGTTGCGCGAGCAATGGAGTTGGCGACTCCGCTGCAAACAGCAATCAATCGCACCGCGTCGTTTCTCCTTGATGACCGGATACTGAGATCCAACCCCTCCCACCCCGAACTTTAAAGGCCCCTTTTCAAATTGGAATTCGAGCGCGGTTCTGCCCCATCGCCCGTCTGAAACATGAGTTCATAGCATCCCTGCCAAGCCGGTGCCCTTTCCCATCCACTGCAAAAATCACGTGCAAGCGCGCCCGCTCACCCAGCCCCATCAATTTCCAGAAAGGCCTTTGCAACGCAAAACGACGCCAAGATTAGGTTTCATGCAGATTTCAAAATCGAGCGCCCCGAGGAACATCACATCCCACGGTCCCCCGAAAAGAATTCCCCAAAAATAACAAACAGCTCGCGCTCGGGCGCTTGCAGAGTGCCGGGGAAAACAATTTGTTTTCCAACGTATTCATAACAAGCCACCAACCAGGCCGCTCGCGCGAGCATGTCGGAACGCTTGAAAAAATGTCCTCGCGCGCGTGCAGTTGAAAGAATCCCTGAGAAGTGGGCGATAGGCGCGCGCCGTCGCGCGCTCGTGCCAAAAACCTTCAAAACCAAGGGCCCCGGGAAGTTTTCGCAATCGATTGCCCCGACAACGAGTAGAAACACATGGGCTTGCAAAATGGCTCGCCCTTCGGCGGTGTAAAAACGCACGCGCTCCTGCGATTTCTTGACACAATAAGTTTGTCAACATCTTCGTTCAATTTGACCACGCGGGTCTCTCGCGCCGCATGCCGAATTAAGTCGCCCCCGTGGTCCGACGCGCTCCTGTGCGATCTCGCATTGGAGAATGTTCAATGCGGTTTGTGCGCTGTCCTTCGTAAGCGCGTCTTCCCTGATGCCCCGTCGCTCCCATCGGCGGCTGCTTGCTCCCTGGGCGACGCCTGGTGGATTGCCGCATGCGCTCGCTCTCATGCTCGCTTCGCATCGCGAGCAGCCCGAGCCGCCCTAGCCTGAAGGACTTCCGCCACCTTCTGCTCGACAACCGATGCAGCCTCTCGGGCCTGCTGCAATTAGCGCTGCGTCTGCCTTTCCATTTGAAACATATGTCCTGCCGCATTCTCTCCCTCCTCCACGATTGCCAGCCTAGCTGCTTGGTCGGCCTCTTTCCCATTGCGCTCGGATTCCTGGATTCCTGCAAAGCAAAGACAGCTTAGCTGCCGCTGAGGTCGCCTGCTGATTCAGGTGCGCCTGCTATGTCATCAAGATCCAGCGATCTATCTCTCTGTGCAGCTGTCGTAGTTGCTCACTCCTCTCTCACTTGCGTTTCTAACTTCATCTTCACGGGGGCGACCGCCCGTTCGCTTAAGAATAGTTAATTCGCAGCTGCTTTTATTTTCTCGTGATTTTTTCTCACGCAACGCAAGAAACGCAGAGCAAGAAGTGCCATGCATTGACAACTGTGCCCTTGAATGTCGAGGAAGTCCAGGCGTAGCCAGCTGACGTCGCAATGCTGACGGGTCTTGGTCAACGACCCACGCGCAAACCTACGAGAAGGGCAATGTTTCTGCCCCGCTTTCTCCTGGGCACCGACTCTCCGCCGACGGCTCGGCGGCTCACCGAGCCCAGCGGCCCCCCTGGATCGAAAGTCTGCTGGGGGGGGGATTGCCCAGACGGACTGCTAGAGCCGCGGCTGCTCCTCGACGTGGTGCGGCTACTGATTGGCGACCCGAGCTTCGCACGTCTCGTTGGAGGGATTTCGGCGAGGGTACTCCAAGTTTCGCATCGCTCTTTTCCTATTGGCATTCTTCTATATTCTCAATCATTTGATCTTGATGGATTGAATCTACCAAGTCGAAGAATTCTTCACCCATGCCTTCAACTTCGTGAATGACGGGGTCGTGGGAAATCGTTGCAAGACTCCTGGCCAGCGCGGAAGCTGGGGTGGTGGATCATCCAATCCCATGCTGTTGCCAGATCGCCCCTTCGGTCTCTGCGAAAACTGCGCCTCTCCTTGTGGCCAACTGGAGAATGAGAACAAATCCATTTCTTCGACTATCTGGGCCGAAAGGCGACGAAATACCTGGGGAATGGTTGAACCACCCCCCGGCTTCTCGCCCCGCTCATCTTCCGCATTCTGTCGAACATCGTTGGAGATCCCAGTTAAGCCGACAGTTCCCTCAGCTGCGTCACGCGACTCTCCTTTCAATGACGAGCTACATGAACTTTTCTCCGACTCGATCAATGACGCTAGTTCTCGGACAACGTCAACTCCTCGAACGTTCAAGTTTCGTCTCTTAGGTCCACTCACAGGGCAGGGACTGACTAAGTCAGCCATACCCGATGCAATGGGACTTTGAGGGTCTCCATTTGGCAGATCAATCAGAAAACACGTCGATCGGCAGCAAAGAGCGGGCATCCTGGCGTGGCTGATTTGCCCAGTCGTTATCATGGATTGATCTAGAGCTTTCGGCTGATAACAAATTATTGGCCAGAACACCAACATATTTTGACGTGATTTTCGGTTTATTCGATTTTCATGCTGCTATTGGGTTCAATATGGCGAACATGGCGAACATTTAAATCCGTTAAGCGTGGGCGCGCAAATACGTAAATGTAAAGAGGGGGGCCAGCCGAGGGCGCGACCCCTGTCCACCTACTCGCATCGCAATACAACTGCACTGGACGCAAGAAACAACAGCAGTATCTGGCGTCAGAGGCGGCGGCGGCGGGAGACGGCGAGGAAAAAGTCCGACTGATTGGGTAAGAAGGGGAGGATGGAGTCGGGCCCCAGAGGAAAGGAAGCAAACAGTTGAAGGGGGAAGGGTGAGGAGGGGCGCAGAAAGACGAGCAAGGGGACGGAGGGGGGGGGGCGACGAACACGACGAACGACGACGACGATGACCTAGGCTGACGACGGCGACGACGACGAACGATGACGAACGGTCGTCGACGATGACGCCTACGCCGACGACGGCTGCTGGCAGCCGGCGACGATGACGATCACGACGGCGACGGCGACGACGCCGCAGGTGACCGATGCTCGACGACGACCGATGCCCGACCCAGACCCCCGACGTCATGATTTCTTCATTTCGCGACCCAGAGAGCTCCAGACCTATTCCCCGGGACTGGACTTTCATCCCGAGTCCTTTTTTGACGCTCCCGAGAGCCGGTATAGGGCCCCCAGGGGCCGAAAATGGCGCTAACACCTCCTCCCGTCGTGACTTTTCCTGCCTCGAGGGGGGTCTGGGGACGACGAGTGGCCGCAGACCACGGCGACCACCGGCGGTCGGCGGCCGGCGGCGGCGTCCGGACGGCCGACGGCCGGGGGCGGCGGCGGCGCCCCGACGGTGCGCCTGGGGTCGGCGCCCTCGCCCTCGCGGAGGCCTCGCCGCCACGCCGCGGCCTGCAGAGGGCGTCGAGGCCCCAGCCGTCGCTCGGGCGTGGGCAGCGTCGATCGACGATCGTCGGCTCTCGTCGACGATCCGTCGTCGAATCGTCGCCCCCACGGATCCAACGTACTGGAAAAATTATCAAGACAGAGGCTTTTCTCTATTTTTTCGGCCTCTGGGGCCCTTACCGGCCCTCGGGGCCGTAACAAAAACCACACAGGATGAAACACCGGTCCAGGGGAATGGGTCGAGACCTCGGAGGGTCGCGTCATGAAAAAATCATGGCGTCAAGAGTCTGGGATCGACGATTGTCGACTCTCGTCGACGATCCGTCGTCGAATCGTCGCCCCTTGTCGTCGTCGTAGTCCAGTGGCGATCGTCCTCGTCATCGACCGTCGTCATCGACCGTCGTCGCCGATCGCCGGTGAGCGTCGGGGATAAGGCAGAGAAGCGATTTGAACTGATTGCGGTCGTCGTTCTCGTCGTCGTCGTCGTCGACATCGTGGTAGTCGTCGTCGTCGTCGTCGTCGTCGTCGTCGTCGTCGTCGCCGTCGCCGTCGTCGTCGTCCTCGCGTGGCATCTTCCTTCTACCTCGGGCCTCCGCGGGGGGCCTAGTCGCCACGGCTGGACACGCCTCGAGGTCTCTGGTCAGAACCATCTGCGGGACATAGCTGGCAACGCACGGTAGAAACTTTCCCGCCACATGCCCGTCCCAGGGCTGCTGGACAGTTTATGCCCCTACGGTGGCATGTCGGAGCGTGAAGTATCCAGCCGCCCTGGGGCAGGCATCCCCGACAGCGGAGCAATCAATCATAACCCGTCCTTCGTCCAGAAATCTTTGACTCTCGAGGACCGTGATTTGTTCGTTCTCTGGCGATTATCGCTGGTTTATGGGCCTCCTGAGGACTCCCGAATTCACGACGCCACCGCGGACCTCTGGGGATTCGACCAGAGACTTCTAGGGGTCGTCGTCGTCGCCGTCGTTGCCGTCGTGGTCCTCGAACCCAGGCACCGCGGAAAAATCACAACGGCCAGCACCTCCTCAGTTTGAGCCTCCGCCGACGTCACGATCAAATCCGGCGGACGCGGAGGAGGAGAAGGAGGGATTGGGGGGGATTAGGGAGGGAGAGGCCAGGGGGAGGGGGCAGGAGGAAGCTCGGAGAGGGACAGGAGGAGGCGGGGACGCAGAAGCAGGCGCGATCGGTAGCTCCAGGCCAGCAGGGCAAGAACTCCCCACACAACGAGGAGAGGAGGGGGATAAAAGAAAAAGACCCGGACCCCGGACGTCATTCCTTTGTGAGATTACTTTGGCCCCCCAAAAGTCTCGACCATTCCCTGGGACTGGCTTTTCTTCCTATGAAGCGAGGCGGCGAGGGCCCGGCGAGGGCCTCGAGGGGCCGAAAATGGCCCACCACCTCCCGTCTTGATTCTTTCACGACGCGAGGGGGTCTGGGAAGAGTAAGCGAGACAGAGAGAGAGAGAGAAATAATGAGAGAGTAAGACAGACACAAAGAGTGAAACCAGAGATCGGAAGAAGCAAAGAGTCTGCACGCAAGAGCGGCCCCGTGCAATGAGTGCCCTGTGGTGCTCGGCATGAGAGTGCCGAGGATTGGCCACCGCCAACCACGCAAGCCAAAACTTGGGGGTCCGCCATGGGCCCGCGCCAGACGTCACTCCAGCGACAGCTCACTCTTACGCGTAGCCGACGAGAGAGAGAGAGAGAGAGGGACTGGGGCCGGCTACTCAGCGGGCAAGAAGGGATCTCGGGTGGAATTTGCAGTCTGAGGCACCTCGTCCCCGGGCCCCCATCCCTCAGGGCCCCGTCCTTGGACCACCGATCCAAGATGGGGTCCTGAGAGATGGGGCCCTGAGGATATGGGAGGGGACCCCCAAGGGTGGACTCACAAAGTCTGAGGCACCCAGCCCCGAGGACCCCGTCCCTCAGGAACCCATCTTGGAACCACCGATGGCAGAGGAACAAAAAACAGCATCAACATAAACTTTCGGCGCTCCGCGCGGCTTTCTTGGCTCTGCGCTGGACCCCCCTCCCTGGCGCGCGGGGCGCGCCAGGGGCGGCGACGGAGGTGCCGCCAGTGGGACCCAGCGCAGATCCAAGAAATCCGGGCGGAGCGCCGAAAGCTCATGTTCACGCATGCCGTGCTCGTCGTCTTCGAGATGGGTGTGGGAAACACTCCTGTCCATATCCACTGCTGCTTGAGAGCTTCGGGCTCCCGTCCCAGAAACCCGAGGCACACTGGATGTGGATGGAAACGTGCCCCCTGAGGAGGCTCGATGTGTGTCCATGTCTGGTGCGCCTTGGCCTTGCGGCGCCCTTCCGAAGAAAGTCCCAGACCCCCGACGCTATGACTTTTTCATGACGCGACCCCGAAAGGTCCAGACCCATTCCCCGGGACTGGTTGCTCATCCCATGCTCTGACGGTGCCGAGGGCCGGGAAGAGCCCCCAGAGGCCGAAAACAGCGAAACCCCTCCCGTCGTGATTTTGTCGTGCCTCGAAGGGGTCTGGTATTCTTTTCTTCGAGGTGGCAGGCCCCGCCTCCGGCGCCGGCGCGGCCTCCCGCGCCACCGCCGGGCGCACGGCGGGGGACAGCGCCACCACAGCGGCGGCGGCCGCCGCGGCGGCCAGCGCCGCCCCGCACCGGCGCCGCATGGCCCCAGGCGGGAGGGCCCCGCCGCGGCGCGCGGAGGGCCCCGCCGCGGCCCTTTGGGCCGCCTGCTCCGCTGCCGCCGCCTCTACGGGCAATGCTTCTGTCCATACCCAGACCTCCCCTCGCGTCGTGAAGAATCACGACGGAGGTTTTTCATAATTTTCAGCCTCTGGGGGCCCTCACCGGCGTCGGGGCCGTAAAATAAGAACGGGATGAAAAACGGGTCCCGGGGAATGGGTCTGGACCTCTGGGGGTCGCGTCATGAATCAATCATGATGTCGGGGGTCTGGGTGCATTATTTCATATACATATATATATATATACACACAAGTGGCACGTGTGTGCCCAGGCTCATACAAAAAACTGAAAGGGCGTTTGAAGCAGGAATACACCATGACTGCAGGATCGGAGATGGAGAATGGGAAGCTGGGGCGGCGCCGCCAGGGCGTGCCTAAGAGAAAGGGAACAGGCAGGAAGTGAACGCAGAATAATCTAATATCCAGGTCGCACTCGAGCGCAAGTGGGGTTGCCACACCTTGCGATGTGTGTACCAGGGCCCCCCAGGAAACCTCAGGAGGCCCGACTTGGATACCGGAAGAGGCTCCAGGAGGCCCCGGGATTGTGAGTGTAGGCCCCGCCCGCCTGTGCTGTCTTCCCAATTTAAACTGTGCGTAGCCCGCCTAGCTTTTAACCGGAAGAGGTTTGCTCTCGACCCGCAGACCAAAAAGTGTGTGTGTGTGTTTGTGTGTTTGTGTGTGTGTGTGTGATGTGTGCTCTGTGTTGTGTGTGTGTGTTCTGTGCGTTGTAGGTGTTGTGTGTATGTTTTGTTTGTCTAGCGTGTGATGTGTTGGGTGTGATGTGTGTCTCTGTGTGTGCATGTAGTTCTGAGGCCCCAGGAGGCCCCAGGCGGCTTCAGGAGGCCCCAGAAGACCCCAGGAGGCTCCAGGAGGCCCCAAGAGACTCCAGGAGGCCGCAGGAGGCCCCAGGAGGTTCCAGGAGATCCCCAGGAGGCTCCGAGGCGGGAGCTGAGGTACCAGAAGGTACAGAAAGCTCGAGGAGGCCCCAGGAGGTTCCAGGAGGCTCCGAAGAGGCTCCGAGGCGGGGTCTGCGGTACCAGAAGGTACGTCGGGGCTCGATATTGGGAGGATGTCCCAAGCGAAATCGCCATTCTCTGAGAATCGGGGTCAAAGTCATTGGAATTTGCCATGTGTTTTTGAAGGTTTGATGTTAGAATGTTGAAATCCCGATGTGTTTTTGGACCCTGACGTCACGATCTGCGTGAGGGGTGCCACCGTTATTTTTTGTTAAACAAAAATTTCGAGGATGTCCCGAGCGAAACGGCCAGAAACATAGCGGACGTCTCTTCTGCCCGCCTCCTCATCATCATCAGTCTCTTCTTCTTCCGCTTCAGCCAAACTGGTTGCAACCGTCCGTAGCTTGCTGGATCGAGCTTTTCTTCTGTTTTTTATATTTGGTTTTCTCCCCCCCCAACGCTGGCGCCGCACCACGCCATGCCAGCTTCATCCAAGAAGGCCATCAAGACGAAGACGGAGAGGTGCCGCGACCGCAAGCGCAATCAATCGTTGAAGAATTGGGTCGCGAAACCTTGGGCGAATGACTTCCTCAAGGAGGCTGCGCAGAAGCACCTGCGCAAGTACCGCAGCACGCTCGCAGCCCTGAGGCGCGACAAGGACACCCTCACACAGCAGGTCAAGCGCCAGCGCAAGGAACTGCTCTTCATGCGCCGCGACGCGTTCGTGGCCCAGGTGTCGGGGTGAACCCAATCAACCAAACAGGTGAACAACAACATTGTGCAACTGAAAGCACCACACCACCACCGCAAGCCGCCAGCAGCGCACTCCAGCCCAACCAACGCTCAGCAGCAGCACCAGCACCACCAACAGCAGCACCAACATAACCAACTTCAGCACGAGCAACACATATCGAACCACAACGATAGAACGCGGAACAAAACCCCACCCAGCGCGCGGCCGAGAACAACCAGAAGGCTTTCCAGAAGGCCAAGAACAAGAACGACAAACTGGAGCACCTGGTCGAGGAAACGGCGCGCCTGAGGCACGGCGGCGCGCCCGAACGAAGCGAGCAAGGGCTGGTCTCTTCAAAACTAAGGAACAAGCTTCTGCCCAAAAAACTGCCTGCGAGGGGGGCGCTTTTAGGCCTCTTGGAGGTCGCACGCGCGCCCCCTCGGGAGCGGTTTCCCCACCGGGCCAGTCCTTGTTCCGTTTGCTTTTTGTTCGGCGCCTCGCCGAAAAAATGCGGCAGGCGCAGAAGGCGAAGGCCCAGGGCAAGGAGGAGGGCGCGGCCGCGGCCACGAGGGAGGGGGCGAAGGAGCGCGAGCGCCTTCAGCAAGCCCTTTCGGAGAAGAAGGCTTGCCTCTTGAACAACTAAGCCTTTGACGGCCGACGAACTTCGGCGCCCGCACAGGCGCGTTCCTGGGAGGGCGTCGCAAAGTCCGCCGGCCTTCAAGTCGCCCTCCAAGACCATGTGTTCCTCTCCGAAATTGCAGGCCATGTGCGACAAGCTTTTGTCGGAGAGGTGCCGCTTCTGCTCTGTGGCAACGGACGCGCAGCGGGAGAAGTACTTCGAGCTCGCGAAGAAGACTCGGAGGAGCATCCGTGACGGGTGCTTTGGCGCCCAGTTGGCGGGTTGCCGCCGCTAATGCCGAATTCGGTTGCGAGGCGACAAAACGAGCAGACCCCAAAAGGCAGCCGCTGGGGCCATACCCAGAGAAGCGATGGGGGGCATCCTAGTTGGGATGCCCCCTTCCAGAGGTCTCAGAGACGGCAGACAAGGCCACCGCCCCCTTCCGCAAGACCGCAGCAAGACGACCCGAGGAGCTTCCAAGACCACCCCCCTTCTCAAGACGGCCCAAGAGGCCTCCAAGACGGCACCTAGACGGCCCCGAGCAGCAACAGCGCGACGAGGCAGGGCGCGGCGAAATAGCAAACCGGGGAACAACACTACTATACAACGACAGCGACAAATTAAGTAGGGGCATCCTAGTTTGGATACCGCCCTTCCAGAGGTCTGAGAGACGGCCGACGAGGCCACCGCCCCCTTTCGCAAGGCCGCGCCAAGACGACCCGATGAGCTTCCAAGACCGCCCTCCAAGACGGCCCAAGAGGTCTCCTAGATGCCCCCAGGCGGCCCCGACCAGTCACAATGTTACGCGGCAGGGCTTCGCCCAGAAACACCGAGAATGCAACCGCTTCCGATTAGTTGCGCCATAGGTCGCGCCCTCGGCGGCCGATAATGCAACATTCTCCTCACGGTTGCTGTATTAGTTGCGCCATCAGCGGCTGAGCGTACAGCCGTGCCCCATAGGTTGTGACATATGTTGGGCCTTCGGCCGACAGGAACAACACCGTCTTCTAACGGATGTTTTACATGATCATTCGGGGAAGAATGCGGAAGAGAAGGAGGCAGGCGGAGGACGAACAGGAGGAGCATGGGAGGAATAAGAAGATGAGGGGTCGGACTAGGAGGAGGAGGAGGAGGAGGAGGAAGAGGAGGAGGAGGAAGAGGAGGAGGAGGAAAGGAGGAGGGACAAGAAAAACGTGTGGAGGAAAGGTCGAGGAAAAGGAGGAGGAAGACGAACGAGAGGAGCAGGACTGAGGGGAGGAGGAGGAGGAGGAGGAGGAGGAGGAGGAACTGCAGGGCCACAAAACCATGTCATTCACATTTTTTTGTTTTTTTGTTTTTTTTTGTTGGGGATACCTCGAAACAATGCTATTCACACGTGTTTTTGTTTTTTGGTTTTCAAAGGTCTGCAAACTTCGCCGGCGATGGTCGGTGCCGAGGAACAGCAGAACAACCTGTGAATAGCAGTGTTTGGTGGCCTGGTGGCGAGGAAGCCATACTATTTACAAGTTGGTTTGTTTGATTGTGGTCTTTCAGCGGGAACAAAAAAAACATGTGAGTAGCAGTGGTTGGTGGCCTGGTGGCGAGAAAACCATGATATTCACAGGTTTGTTGGGATTTCGGGTTCCCATTAAAAACTAAAAACAAAAACAAAAAACATGTGAATAGCATGGTATTCTCGCCACCAGGCTACGAAACACTGCTACTCACAGGTGTTTCTTGGTTTTCTCCGTCCACCAGCCTCCTGGCGAAGTTTGCAGACCTCTGAAACCAAAAATACAAAACAACTATGAATAGCAGTGTTTGGTGGTATCACTGACCAATAACAAAAAAAACCTGTGAATAGCAAGGTTTCGTGGCAGCTCTTCTCCCATAGGCCTTTTTGGAGGAGAAGCAAGAGGAAGAGGAGAGGGGGGAGGATGAGGAGGAGGATGAGGAGGAGGAGGAGGAGGAGGAGGAGAACGAGGAGGAGGAGGAGGAGGAAAGAGGAACGGAGAAGGAAAATGAGCAGGAGGAGGGAGAGGAGGAGGAACGGAAGCGAAGCGAGAAAGATATTGAACGTAAGGATAGGGCTGCACGGGGTGCTGGGCGGGGGGCTGACCATATATATATATATATATATATATATGTATGTATAGATGTGTGTGTATGTATGTATGTATGTATGTATGTATGTATGTTTGTATGTATGTATGTATGTATGTATGTATGTATGTATGTGTATATATATAATATATATATATATATATATATATATATATTCATGCTGACCTATGGAAGACCGAGCCCCCCCCCCAGAAACCCGAGGCGCACTGGATATGGATACGTTCGCCCCCGAGAGACCCGATGCTGATCCATATCCGGTGGGCCCCGGCCGTGTGGCGCCCTTCCAAGAAAGTCCAAGACGCACTGGACATGGAAACTCATCTCGCCAGCAACCTCTCTCGTGTGTTGCTGCGGTCGGGAACTTTTGCTTCGCGTGTCGCGGAGGCGGCTCCGGCGGCACGCTACGCCCTGTCGCCAGACAGCGTGTCGCTCCGCTCCGCGGGGCGGGAGGCTCGGAGAGGCTCGGGGTTTTGTCGCTCAGAAATGCGCAGGTGGACAGCGTGCCGCGTCGAAA